TGTATGCTCAGGTTTGCGTGCGTGCGCGTGGTGCGTGCTCTTGGTGCGTGCGTGCGCGTGGTGCGTGCGTGTGTGCGTGCGTGCTCTTGGTGCGTGCGTGCGCGTGGTGCGTGCGTGCGTGCATGCGTGTTCGTGGTGCGTGCGTGCGCGTGGTGCGTGCGTGCGTGCGTGCTCTTGGTGCGTGCGTGCATGCGTGCTCGTGGTGCGTGCATGCACGTGGTGCGTGCGTGCGTGCGTGAGTTCTAACAGCAAGGCTCTCCACCTAGCGTCCCGTGTTTTATCCGGCTTTTTCATGTGGTTTTTCTCCTAATTTCGATTCGATGTTCAATATTTGCGAAAGCGTATGTTTTCGCACGCGACGTAGTCTCTTCGTGTTCGCCTTGTTTTTTTGCTGGGCTAGTAATCTAGTATTAGGGGGAAAGTATTGTGTCGCTCGAGCTCTTTCCTCTTACTTTCTCGTTCGCTCCCGCAAGCGCCCCTTCTCTGAGCATTTAAAAGCCAACTATCTATCTATCTATCTATCTATCTATCTATCTATCTATCTATCTATCTATCTATCTATCTATCTATCTATCTATCTATCTATCTATCTATCTAGCTATCTATCTATCTANATCTATCTCTCTCTCTCTCTCTCTCTCACTCTTTCTCTCTCTATACATGCATATATATATATATATATATCGTGTGTCTGCAATCATTAGCGTCTGTCTGCTCTACATCCACGGCCCGACGGCGTGAAGCCGTATGACAGCCGACGCCGCCGGCGATGACGATGACGACTGCACATCCGGATGCAGAGTGCGGGAGAAACAAAAGCCTCACAGCAGCAACAAGCAGCAGCAGTAAGCAGCGATCAGCACGTAATCGGCTCGTCGTTGTGTGTATTTGTGTCGGGGTGGTGGGGGGGGTGGGGAAGTAATCGTCTGCACGTATACGATGACGATGACGGCGGTGATGGCGGGGATTCCCCGCTCCGTCTTACAGCCAGCCTGCTTTGCGAATCTACAAGATGAAGAGATAACAGAGGCCTCATTAAATGATGCGCAGCAACTGAGTGCGACAGAGAGAGAAGGAGTGAAGGGAGAGAGGGTGGGGAATAGAGATAGAATGAAAGAGATGGGGACAAAAAGAGAAATGTATTCGCTGTAATTCCGCCTTACTGACTCAGTACTCACTTAAAAAAACGGATCTAAATTATAAAAGTTCTCGCGATATCGCAGCATTCCACCCCGCTCGCATCGTCCCGCCTCCCGAACCCGACCAGCAGATGGCGTGCCGAGCGGACATCCGGTTTGCTCAGGCGCGTTTTGAAATGTACGCGAGATTTCAATAATTAAGCAGTTGCCTCCGTTCATCAATCAATATCAGCTCGACAAACCTGACTTAACGCTAATGCTATTTTGTGAGCGAAACCGATACGAGGATCCAGCCAGACGCTCGATCATGGTGGCCTAATGTCTATTTACTCTCGCAAACCGCTGCGGGAAAGAGAGCGAGAGAGAGAGACGGGCAGAGAGAGAGACGGGGAGAGAGAGAGACGGGAAGAGAGAGAGAGAGAGAGAGAGAGAGAGAGACGGAGAGAAAGAGAGAGAGACGGGGAGAGAGAAGCGGAAGTAGACGAAAGAAAAAGGAGAAGAATGAGGCGGATGACGAAGGAGAGGAGGAGAAAAACCGGTAACGAGACGGAGGGGTTTGAGATGTGGACAGCAAAAAAGAGAGGATTGAGATAGAGAAAGAGAAACGGAAGATGGTGACGAGGAAAGAGAAGTAAAAGATGAATATACAGAAGACAATGTAGATATAGAAAAAGCAGAAAAAAGAAAGAAAAAGAAGAAGAAGAACAACAACAAGAAGAAGAAGAACAACAACAACACAACAGCAGCAGCAACAGCAGCAGCAACAGCAGCAACAACAACAACAAGACAAAGTCAAAGAAGCAAGAGAAGTAAAATAAAAAGATAAAGAAGAAGGATGACGATGACGCGGAAGGGGAGAGGGTGAAGAGGATGAATAGGGGAGGAGTATGAGGAGAGGAGGTGAGGACGGAGGAGGAGAAGGAGGAGGAGGAGGAGGAGGAGGAGGAGGACAGAGGAGGAAGAGGAGGAGAGGAGGGGGAGGAGAGAGCAGAGATAGAGGATTGAGAGGCAGAATGAGCATGAGGCATTGATGATGATGAGGATGAGGAGGAAGAAAAGGAGGGGAGGAGGAGGAGGAGGAGGAGGAGGAGGAGGAGGAGGACATAACGAATAAGAAGGGGAAGACCCTCGTCATGGGATGAGCAGACGACAGATGACGTCATGACGGATGCGTTTAAGAGCCGAGTTAGTGAGTGTTCTTGCGATACGCGCCGGAAAATTACCATCAGTCGTTTCCGATAGCGGGGCGGGAAGAATATTTTGCCGAGATTGAACAGAAATCGACCGACGAACGAAGAATGAGAAGCAGACGATGAGTCGAGTGTTCGATGGCTTTGCTGATACGGCAGCGGTCGCCGACGCCGCGCATATTATGTAGTCGATAAAACCGGGAACAATGACAAACAAATATATATATATATATATATATATATATATAGGCGTCACGCAAATTCTCAACGGAAAAGAGGTTTACTAAACGCCCCGCATTTCGTAATCGGGGGTTTGCCTGCGTAGACAGCGTGCGTGTAAGCGGAACGTCGATGGCCGGAAGATGCCCGAAATCGGCCCTTCCCGAGAGTGTTTCATTCTGGTTCGCCTGGCCTCGTTTGCTAAGCTTGATGACAGATCGGCTCATGTCAATAATCAGCTTTTAAACGGCCAATAAAACAAAACGTAGTGTAAGAAATATGTGTTACGAAACGAGTTAGAAAATGTTAAAAACTGACAAGCATCGGGATCGCAGTCTTTTTCGGCGGGTAGAGTGTTGAATGAGAAACGGCTACGGCGAGTAGACAGATGACAGCGCTAGATGACGAGACAAGAATAGGTCGACATAACATTTAGCCATTATTTTTTGCTACGTTCATTTCTAACTAGTTTTTCCTGTGCTAGACTCTTAAAGCTCGCTCCAGCAATGCTTATGGATTTGAAGTTATGGGTGTTTTAAAGAAAAAAAGATAACTGGCGCAAAAAAAGTGTAGGTCCCGGGCCTACGAGTGGGCTACCATACTGGCTAGCCCGCGGCTGAGTCTACCTATCATAACTACTGACTGACTACTAGCGTACTCACTACTGACTGACTATGAGTCTACTACTACTACTACTACTACTACTACTACTACTACTACTACTACTACTACTACTACTACTACTACTGCTGCTGCAGCGGCAATTTATTTATTTATACATATACATGTATGATGCATAGATGCGTATAGATATACCTACGTGGATATCATTTCCGATATTTTTGAGCGAAAATTGCTTCCCTAAAAGTGTTTGCTGTGTAAAGCACTGTCCGTGATACAAGCGCGCGTTAACGGCAAATATTGAACTTGCGAGCCTATAAGTGGCTGTTAAGCCGCCGCTGCAAGATTCCCGCCAAAACCTGCCAATATCGGCTCGCACGCGTAGACGGGCTCCCGTCCGCTGCTTGGCCGCTGTGCTACCGTGTGCCCCTCGTCCGCTCGGCGCCGGTCCAGCCCAGGATTTAATATGATGTGTGAGTGCGGTTTTGTCTGCTCCGCCCGTTTATTATATATATATATATATATATATNTCCCAGACGTGCTGATTCTGAAAATATCTTTAGTTTTCCTCTAGGCTGCGGAGTTCTCTAGTTATGCGAGTACGGACTAATTCGGCTGAACAACTTTATATATATAGATTTTCCTCTAGGCTGCGGAGTTCTCTAGTTATGCGAGTACGGACTAATTCGGCTGAACAACTTTATATATATAGATTTCGCGCTAATTTAACCCCCCCTCCCCATCAGTCCTCGCAGCCATGCAGCGTCTGTGCGTGGCGACCTATATCTACCTGCTGATCACATGCCAGCTGCTGCTGCGCATGACCGAGATATCGCATCGCCCAATGACGTCATCTGCCTCGCTTCCGACGTGCGTCGTCTTGTTAAAGATAACTAGTGATCGTCGCAGACGTCTCTATGACCGCTTGTGTCGGCGCAGACGATCGTTGCGGCTCGGCAAGTTATTCTTATGGCGCACGCGCGAGCAGATGATGTGACGTCACCGCGCGAGCAGATGATGTGACGTCACGACGCGAGCAGATGATGTGACGTCACCGCGCGAGCAGAAGATGTGACGTCACGGCGCGAGCAGATGATGTGACGTCACCGCGCGAGCAGACGATGAGACGTCACGGCGCGAGCAGATGATGTGACGTCACGACGCGAGCAGATGATGAGACGTCACCGCGCGAGCAGATGATGTGACGTCATTGCGCTGGCAGCCACGATGGCTGCTAAGCGAGGGAGCATGGGATTAAAGAGAAATCTCTAGTTCTTGTTTCTCTCTAATTCTATAATTCATTCTGTAATGCGGAGGCGATGAGTTCCTACCTGCAGGCATGGTCATTGTGTTGATCACGTGAGAATTGTGCTGATCACGTGACCATTATGCTGTCACGTGATCATTGTGCGGATCGCGGGACCGATACCTTGATCGGGTGACAAATGGGTTTATCACGTGACCATTGTGTTGTTCACGTGACCATTGTGTTGCTCCCGTGACCGCGTGTTGATCGCATTTCCGAATTTAATATTTACAGCAATTATGCAGTAGGTGAATTATACCTTACCTTTTCTGATAGATCATCGCATGTACGTGACGAATATATATGGACATGCATGCATGTCGGGTGAATGTGTATATATCTTGAGCTCAGAAATAGAATGGAATGATGTTCGAAGATACTTACAATTCTAAAATACAGCCAATTATATGAGGATTCTTGTACTCTACATTTATGTGTGCTTGGGTTTTGCTATGTGCGTGGGTGCAAGTGTGCGCGCGTGTGCGTATGTACCTATGTGTGCACGTGCGGGTGTGTGCGTGTGTGCGTGCGGGTG